TTAACCTAATAATATAAGCCATCAAAATAGTAACAGATTTGCTAAATCAACTAAAAACAACGTTTTTCTACTCCTATTACGGAATTTGACCGTTCTAATATCACTTTTGTCTATGGAATGACATATATTCCGTAAAGTGCTACAGAATGAAATATTCTATCATCCGATTACAGAATAAACACTCGTGGCGAAATCTCTGTTTTTAATATCTAACAAATTTTAGACCGATCCAACCTCACTTTCTTCCAATTAAATTATTTTTCTATTGTATTTTTTGGAAACGTAGAAAATATATAGTCTGAAACACGTTTGGAATTGCATATTCCGCTCTCGTGAAACCGTCTAACTCGCCTTCGGCTCGTGTGACAAACTCTTTACTCGAGAGGAATATGCTGTATTCCAAACTTGTCACAGAATATACTATTAAAGTTTTCAGTGTGTCACCATCATGACATCTAAATGGAGTAAATATAACAGAACCTTGCATGCAAATTTTAGAAGCTGTTTTCCTTCGCTTCTGACAGTAAAGCGTAATATTGATGAAGAAAAAAACATTGTTGAGGCAAGCTTAGATTTGCCGAGTTAAAAGAATTTTTAATTAAAATAAATTATCCTCTTAAGGGGTTTATTAGCGAAGATCAAACCGGCATTACGCCAAAAATCTGTTATGACGCTGCAACTAACAGCATGTTTGGTTTTGTGCTGCCTTTGGATGACGTAAACGGATTATAAATAAAGAGTTACTTCGAGGAACAGATCCCAAAGATATACAGAATTTTTTCCAAAATTCAAAACGATCATGCTTATTTAATTACAGCACAACCCTTAGTTGAAAGAGCTCCTCGGTGTTTTCGGTAGTTCAAATAAATTTACTGCAGACCACGTTTTAAAAAGATGGAAAGAAATGCAAGCATTGGCTGCATAACAAGGAAGAGATCATAAGTTTCTCATCAGATCGTAACTTTAGAATATTAAAGTCAATGAAATTAAAATCATTTGTAGATAAAGACAAAATTGAATTTGAATGGTCAGCGGTCAATTTAAGGTCAAAACAATCTCAGCATCAACCAATATGTATATAGGATAAGTTTAAGCCCAGTATAATACCGATGTGAAACTTTATTGTCTCACCTCAGCACCTTAAAAGTTTTGTTGATGTTTTGCCTAAGAACCAGCATTAGTTGTCTTTTAACGATTTAAATTCCAATGACAAGATAAATTTTACTGTTGTTGAAAAAATTACTTCAGAATCAGTGATTAATTTTCTAGAAGAACATATTCAAGGACAAAAAGGGGCTGTTTTATATTTATTCGTTATTTAAAACATTCTTGATTTTTTTTTGGATAATTACTGAAAGATCATAAACATTACACATTAACAAATAACTTTTTATCTATAAATGCATAAAGTTGTATTGAATTAAATGTTCATAATCTTGTAGCAATTATTTTAGCATTAAAAGCAAACAATCTAGAGGACCGTTTTCTTACCTGGCTAATGAGCAGTCAGCCATGTGAAAAGACTTTTAAAGCTGTTAGCACCTTTTCTACCATTGTCAACTTTAATATATTGGATATATTGCAGAGATTAAAACGAATTTAATTAATAAATGAAATCCAGTCTGATACAGGTAAAATAACATACCAATATTATGATGTTACAAATACTTTTGTTAAGGTAATTTAGTATTCAACGGAAAATTAATAATTTTATCATCATATTACTATGTATACCTACAGATACCCTAGAGAAGAACATCGCAAAGTTAGGAGAAGGCATAAATGAAACCTAATTTTGACGAAATCTGTACTGTAATGTAATTGAGACTGCAAAAAAAGGCTTTTGGTGATGGGAATAAAAATGGATTAATTACTGAAAATACAAGTTGGTTTGTACCCGAAGTTCCATTAGGCAAAGTCTGAACACACTGGAAAAAACTAGTACTGAGCATGACACAACGTTGATTGAAAATAAAGAAATTTCAGAAAGTGTTCCTGAAGAGGTGCATGATAAAATTAAATATATGTTACCTTTTAGTTGTAAGAATTATTTGAAAAAATTCGATTTATCCAAAGAACTTCAGCAAGATAGCAATGAATTTTTCAAGGAAAGCCCATTCACAAAAATTATTTTAGAGAATCATAAATCAATTATCATAAAAAAAATCAACTTTATGTTGGATGCTGGATGATAAAAGCAAAAGATTAAGCAGAGATATGAGTACAGCAAAGCAAAGTACAAATGACAGTGATGTTGCTGCCCAGCAAAAATCAAGGTTAATATAAAAAAATATTTTTTTTAGAAGATTGGTGTGCTTTAGTTATTTATCAGGGAAAATCTAAAGAGAAACAATATTCATTGCCGTACTTATCAGTGAAGTCCTCTAAAGAAATGTATTGGCTGTTTAGCTAATTGACACAAAGAAGGAAGAAGATAATGAACGAGATAATGATAAAAAATATGAAGATGGTAAAAAAAAGAGAAAATGAATTAGACACCCGATTAGACATTAAATTTAAAAACTATTATGCTAAAATTAAAAAGCAATGTGGTACATCGGAAAGGGTTATTAAGAGAATTCGTAAAAACACAAATTTTAAATTTCGACCTTGATCGATTTATGGCCTAAAATGGATGACATCCAACTGTAAACAAAAAAATTATATTTTATGGGCCTATTTTTTTACTTGGAAATGGACCCTGTTATATAAGGAATTAAGAAAGATCCATAATTAAAGGGGGAATTAAAGAAATTGAAAAGTAAGAAAATACAAATTTTGAAGGAAATTTCGTTTTTTTTACAAAAAAGGTGATATAAGTCAAATCTCTTCAACTTCGAACTGAGATGTTTCTTGACATATTCCATAACTAAGGTGACCAACTTTCTAAAATGAGAAAGCACGACACAACATGCCCCTTCTTGCCCTTCCAAAAAATAAACAAAATTGATTTTATTTAATGTTTATTATTTGAAAAAAAGATGTGCTAATAACGTCAATAATAAAAAAGTATCCTGTAGGTACTTTCAAAAATTCAGATTTGTAAATTAATTTTTAACCTGAGCCCTGACCACTTTAAAAAAAAATTGCTAATAATGACAATAATAAAAAAATTAAAACCAGGACACATTAGCAAAAACCAGAACCTGTGCTGGGTAAACACGGACAGTTGGTCACCTTATCCATAACTAGTGTTGCAAACAAGGAAAAGTTCGGTCGAAAAGTTGGAAAAGTTCGGCACCCCCTATGAAAAGTTGGAAAAGTTGGAAAAGTTATTAGGTGGGAGCCAATGAACAATGAGTTGACTTCTAACCAGTGTTTCCACTACCATAATTTTTTTTTGGTAGATTGTTGTGTTTTTAGTAAAAATGCTAAAAGCATTGTTTTTTGGAATAACATTTTGTCAAACTTTATCAAAAATGGTGTCTGCTAACAGCATTTTCTATTATATAAAGATTCTTTTATTATAACGTAGGTATTTTAAATTTATACACAGTATGAAAAAAAATATTATTTTTTTTAATTATGGAAATTTGCAAGTGAAAATATAAAAGTGGAAAAGAAAAAAGTTTTCTTTTCTTTTTCTTTTTAAATTTTTACTTGTAAATTTCCATAATTTTTAACAACAATAAATTTAATAATTTTTGCTTCATATTTTTTTGTAATTATTTTTTATTTTGTATGTATTTTTTTATGGTGTGTATAAATTTCTATTCCTTTTTACTTAAAAATATGATTTTTTTAATTCAAACCTAGTTTATTTTTGTTGTTATTATGTTGTCTGTTCATTTTATTTTGTTTGATATTTTTTTTATTTTGTTACGTATGTATAAATACATAAGAAATAAATTATTTTAATACATTGACAAGCATTATTTATGTTTTATACATTTACATTACAAAAAAACTCAACTTTTCCAACTTTTCCGAACTTTTAAAAAATTTCAACTTTTCATGAAAAGTTGCAACCCTATCCATAACACATCAATCTGCATTAAGTTATTGCCTCGGTTATTGCTAATGTCAGTCATTTTGTTGGTTATTGTGACTAAGTTACAGAAGGGCAAAAATGTAACCCTTCCAGACTGGCCTAGAAACTCACCGGACATTAATCCTATTGAGAATTTATGGGCTATATGCAAATCCAGGATTGCTAAAAATGGATTGTACAACAAAAACTAAGATTAGGCTGTCATTCAGGTATGGTTTCGAGATGATAAAATCAAGGAAAATTGTAAAAAATTGACTGATTCTATGCCAAAATGAGTTGAAGCTTTGGTAAATGCCAAAAGGGGAACATATTTCCTATTAAATAATACTAAAATATTTATAAACTAGTACCTACTGTATTTTTTTTCAATAAATAATATTTAAAGTAAATCTATTTGTGTTCACATTAATTCACACAATACTGTAATATAGGTATATAATTTGTCCCAAGCTGGCCATTTGTACTGTTTATTGTGCTTGTGCAGTTACACTTTTTTTTTCAACTTTGTAATTATAAACCTAATTTTTAAGCATATTTTTTTAATTAAGACAAATTTTTAGATTTATACGACACCATTAATCCGGCCCTGAATGTTTGCACAATTATGTTCAATGTGTTTGCTCAATCTTTGTCCAATTCTAGCACAATTTTTGTTTGCTGGGTAGTTAAGAAAAAAAACACTGTTCAATATTTAGTGGTGTTAGAACTATTTGCTACTTGTATAACCAAAATGAGTAAAAGAAACAAATATTTTAGGGCTAAATTGCCAAACCATATTATATGTTGTGAACCATTATTTGGTAAATAATAAAATAATTAAAAAGTATACCTAGGTATTTCTTCTATGTTCTTTGTAACTTATTACAAAAATCCTATAATTGGTACTTTTTATCCCGGCATTTTCGGGATCGGTTTTTTTACGGGATTCCAAGATTGACACCCCTAGTAAGCCCCTACTTACCAGACTTTGGTAACCAGAGTTCGATAAAATTGTCTTGGTATGTTTTACCTGATTGTCGGTCAATGGGGCTTGGTTTTATATGTTGGTTAGCTGATCCTACGAGCATTGGATAAAACACTTTCGGCCAAAGCACAGCAAAACAACCCACTACCACCACAAACACAACAGCAGTCTTTTTGGAGCCCATTTTTTCCTTATCTGGGGTGTATGTTGCTCTAGGATTTCTCAGTCGTTCGGTCATCTTTCGGTCGTTCCACGTTTACTTTGCTGAAGTAAAAATAAACGGAGAAACTTGGCCAAGATCCTTATACAATATTCAAAAATAGTTTTCAACAAGATGACAGAACGAAAATGTTAAGTAAATTGTATCATTGTCAAATTTCATATTAATTTTTGAAAATTTTAAAAAACCTTTTAGTAGTTAAATTGTTTTCCCATAATAAAAATAAATAACTATTTCACTGCCTACTTTCATGTTCAATCGAGGTCTAATGCCGTAAAAAAACAGCGTCCAAAATAAACTAGGCAACGTTGCTATTTAGGCTAGGAGCGCGTTCGAAAACTCGCAAGAGTGCACTCTGGATACACTCCAAGTTTACCTTGCGCGTTCAAATTCCTAGATATATGCAACCAAAGAACTTTGTATGCAACTGTCAGCTGTTCGAAAACAGCAAGTATATGCCCAGAGTGCACTCTCGGTTGTCCAAGCTTGGTTAAGTTTTATCCGTCATGCGCATAGGGTACATCAAACAATAATTTGTATTTACCTTCATATAATTTATTTATAACTGTTTAAAATTCAATAAAACAAAAACGAAAAACATTAAAATAAAAGAATTTATTATAATAAATTATTTAAAAAATATAAATTCTAAAAAACAAAAGAAAATCTATCACAAAAACTTGAATAATCCATATAACTAAAGGGTTGAAATTCAATAATTAAATATTTATATGTATTCAGTCAAATAAAAGGCAACACTACAACATAAAGTTTATAGTTATATTCTCCGGGGCGTTCGAAAATAACAAGGAGGTTAGGTATAATGTAAAGTCACGTGATTATATACCTATAGGTATATATACTTATACCATATCCAAAGTACACTCTCATTTCGAACGCACTCTAGAGTCAACGCCGTCATTGTAGGCTCCATGGTATGCCGCCAAGATTTCAAAACGTTGCGTTTGACGCAGTCGAACGCTGTCCCATTGTGTTTCACGCTTAAGTTTTTTGAAGCACTTGTTGGCTGTCTAGCGGCTAGACATCCAACGCGTGCTTCAAAAAAATTAAGCCTGAAACACAATGGGACAGCGTTCGACTGCGTCAAACGCAACGTTTTGAAATCTTGGCGGCATACCATGGAGCCTACAATGACGGCGTTGAACGCCATTGAGTGATATTTATTATTTTTTTATTTACACCAGTATTAGTTGTGAAGTTTTAAGATTCACCTATTTTGGGTTTATATTAGGGAAAAAATGTTAATATAATATATATATGTATATTATATATATATATATATATATGAAGAAATTCACTTGAAAATGGCAATAAATTTTTAGGGGATAAAAAGTCAAGTGTTGGCGACACTGAGGTAAGTATTTTACAGTATTGATCAGCTTATATTTTTATCAGGGTTTTATTAGAAATGATTTGAAATTACCTTACCAGTTTTTTTATCTAAGGAAATTACAAAATCTATGCTAAAACCTATATTTTACAAAATGTTTAAGGGGTTTTGACATCCATTTATTACGAGGTTATTTTAGCAAATTTAAAGCCTGATTTATAGATCGTCTCCCTTTCTTCCTCCCTTCCTCACGTAAAAGATTAACCATACAAAAACTCTTGTGCTGTTTATAGATTTACGTACGGGAATCTATAAATGGCACTACGATTTTCGTATTGTTCATCTTTTACGGGAGGAAGGAAGGAAGGCAATCTATAAATCAGGCTTTAGAGGTGGGCCGGTTTGCGATTTTTCAAGAGCTGCGATGTTAATAATAATAATCTTTATTTCATAGAAGGCTATACACAACAAAAAATACAACCTTAGAGAAATTGCAGTCAGAAGCAGTAGCGTGCCGTATAGGGGGCCAGGGGGGGCGGCGGCCCCCCCCGCCCTTCTGTACAATTGCGCATTTGGCGCCCTAATTAGTTGACAATTTTGTATAAAATAAAAAAATGTTGTTTTTAAGAAAGTTCGCCCCCTCCGCCCTTTGACCCACGGCACGCTACTGGTCAGAAGTATGCAGGAAATAAATTATAATGCATTTTCAAAAAATTCATTCACCGAATAAGACTCTAATTTGATCAGAAAATTTAAAACTAAATTACAAAAACTTTTGAAGTTTGTTTCTCTACGACTACTTAAGAATAGTAACATTCTAGTGTAATTTTTGATCATAGAAAGGATGTTTTTCTGCAATACTGTGCGAGAATATTCCTACTCTTGTTTAAGAATGGTCACAAGTAGCGACATCTCCTGGCTGTTTACTAAACGTAAAAAATTTAAAAATATTTAAATATTACTGTATTATTTATTAATTAAAAAATAATAGTAGTTGTATAATTAAGGTTTAGGCACAAAAAAATAGTTATATTTATTGTTTTTCAAATATACAAATCAAAATTATAATAAATTTAATATTAAAATAATAAACCAGTTACCTACTATACCGGCTTTAATAAATTTGATATTAAAATGATAAACCAGTTACCTACTATACCGGCTTTGAAGTTTTGACAGATTCAAAAAGTTTAAAAGTTTATTAGTTAGTGTAAATAACCCTTTTTAATTATAATAAAGATTTAGGCATACCATTTGTTTAAATTTATTATTATTTACATTATAAAATTGTGACGGCACAAAATGGTTTGACAATACAAAAAACCTAAATGTCAAAAACTGCTTGGTTTCTTTTCTCTGTTTAAAATTATATAAGCGTTACTATTCTTACGTAGTCGTAGAGAAAATAATGTCTGAAACACGTTTGGAATAGCATATTCCACTCTCGTAAAACCGTCACACTCGCCTTCGGCTCGTGTGTCAAATTTTTCCTCGAGCGGAATATGCTGTATTCCAAACTTGTTACAGAATGTACTATTCCAATTTCAAATTGGTTGGCAACGCATTAAAAAATTTTATGCAACTATAATAACAGCCTTTCTCTGTCACCGTTAACCTATGTACCGGATATATATACATTAAACACCTTGTATTGTGTATATGTTATGTGTTTATGTTTTTGAGTATGAGTATGAGTATAAGAGACGTATAACCAGCCCCATTTCCTCTTGACTCTCGAACCCCGTACAGGCCTATGTTTACTTACGCCGATTTTTGTTCTTCCCCAGCAACTGCACGGCTTCACCCGTGTTTGCTGGGTGCGAATGTCCATTGCTTTCCGTACTGTCCCCTATTTGGGGCTCGAGAGCGAGAGGCGAATAGTTATAATAGCCATTCCCGGGTTCGCCGAGCCTATGCTATACGCTCGGTGGGGTATGGATGAGGGACGGGAGGGAGTTGGTTTTTGGGGGACAATTACGCCGACTTAAAACTAAGTACGACGCGGAATCCCCCTAGACCAGTCGATTAGTATTACTCCAAACATTTGGGATTACTATTTGGAGTTGGGGAGTTGTTATTTTGCTGCAGGGGTGTAGTTTCCTAGTCGAGGTCTTTGTCTTGTTCGTTATTGTCATTGTCCGTGTCCTGGTCAGATAGTTCCTGCCCTTGGTAAAGTGTGTCAGTTGTTTTTAATAATTTTTGTCCCAAGCCCGTTTTGTGGTAGAGTTCCGTCTTTGTTTATCAAATTCCAAAGCATTGCATTTATTCACTAGTCAAACAAATCACAAGCGCGATTATTCTGTTGTCTAATGTTTACAAATCTCGAGTTAGGCCCTTTTTTTTAATGTGTTAGAATTATATGATCAATGTTAGTTTACTCTGTCAGTCCAGTGTTTATTTTCGGTCTCGATTGGGACCGCCTTACGCATTTGCTGTTGACAGACTTATTGCCCCACGCCGCGTGCCCTTCATAGGTTTTAAAGATATCCCAATAAACACTTTAACGATACCTATCACCATTAACATTGCCCGTGTAAGAATTTTTAACACTTTTTAATACAATTTTGCAATGATAGTAATTAAAAACAAAACAATTGTTTAAAGAGTAAAATATGTTCTTAACATAATCATATTTTAAAGTTATTTTAACATTTTCAAGTAAAATAAATGTTATGTTTAATGAAATGAATACGGGCAATGTTAATGGTGACAAATAACGGAAAATGCTTGCTGGGATCTGCCGTATTTATATTGCAGATTTGTATCAGGTCATGCATACTCTTAAAGTAAAACTTATCAGATTTTTCCCCTTGCGGATGGCCACCTCCCCTCTTCTCCGACCTCCCCCGTCCGTCCAGTGAAAAGCCTCCAATGACAGGTGGCACCCAAGTCATTCATATCACCCAACACTCCACTCCTCAATGACCGTTACACCATTTTAGCTTGCACTCCATGAAAATGTTTGTTTCACTTATCAGTTCGCACCCCTTTTTTTTTAATTATTGTTGGCTTCATCTTTAAACTTTTACGTTTCAAGAGCTCTCCCGCACGCGAGTCGCGTGACGCGACGCGTCTTCTCGAGCGCTGGAACCGAACCGAACTTATGTGTTTATGTTTTTCAATTATTTTTTTATATTTGTGAAAGAATTTTAGACATTCCAATACATAAATTCCGGTAACAGTCAAAAGGCCGCTATTCCGAAATCACAGTGAGAGAGTCTTGCAGAGGAAGTGAGAGTCTCACTGACAACCTGCTCATTATGCGAATGGCTCTCTTTTGCACAACAAACATGTCATCAATGTTTTTTCCATTTCCAAAGAATGTTATACCATAACGAACCACCGATTCAAAATTCGCCTGATATATAATTTTTAATGTTTCAAAGTTTAAATACTTTGACAATATCCTTATGCTGTAGCACACTGCATTCAGTTTAAAACAAGTCCGCTCGACATGCATGTCCCAGCTAAGTGTTGCATCCAAATTTAATCCCAAAAATTTGGTGGTATTATTTAAGTGAATTATTTGGTTGTTAATAACAATCTCATCTGGAACCACAAATCGAGCATGACTTGTTCGGAACAGAACACAACTTGTCTTATTTTGATTTAGGATTAATTTATTTTTAAAAAACCAGTTTTCTGCTTTTTTTAATGCCCTGTCAGCATAAGGGACAATTTCTGTGATGCTGTTTGAAGTGACAAGCAGATTTGTATCATCGGCATAGTTCGTTATGGCACAACACTCCTGTTTTATTTCAGTTATGTCATTAACATAGACAATAAACAGTAATGGGCCCAAAATGCTTTCCTGTGGAATACCTTCCATCACTTCACCAAGGTCTGATAGTGTCTTTTTATTATTTTTGTTAATACACACCCTTTG